ATCGCCATCTGAGGCTCGTCTTCATTTGGCCTACGGAATCTCGGGTCTTCAGTCAACGTCGGAGAGGTTTCTAAAGCTTAAGAGAAACGCTTGGTGTCAAATACTTCAAATAATATGAAATAAATCCATTTCGCTTATTAAAAATAGGTTGCTTTTTAACAGGAATTTACATTGATTTCGGCAGTTTTGTAGATTACCTTAATATCCACCATTACTTAAACATTAAAACCATTGCAGAACCGAAAATTAGAGCTTACAGCAGTTTGAATTCACAAAAATTCAAATTCAAAAATACAAATAGCGTTAAATATTTGTCCATGATATTATCACCAATAACAATGCTTGTTTAAAAGAATGACACTACTTATGGATAACTTACAATTTTAACTTACAGGAAATGAATTACAAAATTAATAGAACTTTCATTTTTCCAAGTGGAACTAACACTCTTATTGTTGCAGTAGCGTTAAAATCGAAGATACTCGCGTGGGTTAAGGGTATCTATGATATAGCATAGTCAAGTAGGTTTTCACGAAAACTCAGCATTATGTGATAAGACATTATGACATTATGATAAGACCATTATGTTATAATGGTTTTGCCGTTGGAATGAAATAAAAATAAAAATAAAGACCAATGTACAACATAATGCATTAAACGGTTGCTTTCCAGTGAAAGAAGATTGTCAATTAGTTATAAATTGAACCTTTGCCAGTGTAATTCTCGTATTTAGATATGGCTGCAATCTTTCCAACATAAAGTTGATGATTTCTCGTTTTAGAATCAACTAAGTTCAGAAAATGGTGTTGTTGGAGTTTGCTTTTGAAAGAAAACAACTTTAGAATGCAATATTTATAACCAACCTAACATCTAAGCCTACAACTGTTGAATACTTTTTTTACCAAGCCTATGAGCACAAAATTGCGGTTGTGTCACTTTTTCATCGTAAATGGTTCCCTCCTCACACCCTACTATTATCAGCTATCAATAGACCGTGTTTTCGCAACCCCAGGAGTCTTCGTTACATTCTGCACCGCCCTCCCAACATCTTGTAAACCATCTTCCCTTGTCAACGGTCGGCTCGCACCACAAAAACTCAAAGTTCCGCTGGGGCTGAACACGACCCCTGGGGCGCTATTGAGACCCAGGTAGTCCCCGGCTAATTTCCTGGCCTCACAATACCGAGGGCTGAATTAGCCCCAGTGGATCACTCGTTTTGTTCCCAGCTTCCCCTCCGGCCAAACCAGAACTGGCTCTAATTGTTTAATGGTTCGATTAGCCAACTGAAAGTGAGTGGTTTGAACATTTAATACTTCGGGACATTGGTGAATGGTTGATAAATAAACGGCAGCAATATGACAAATAATTCCCTTCTTTGTCTTGCAACAACCCTTATCAGGCAAGCGGTGGGAGAAAGTATAGTATAATGGGTAAAATTACAAAAGTTACAATGCTAATTGTATTTTATAATAACTCAGTCGTTAGTGGCATAAATTGTATCAAGTTGTTGTTTTAACTGGCCCAACTTTTTTCAGTGCTTACTTCTTGTTAGTTTTTCATAGCCAAACGCAATTAATGTTCACTGTGTTTTCATATTTGTAGAAAAAAGACTTTTTTAAACGTTTTGTCCTGTTACAAAGTAGTAATTCGGAAATTATAGTAACGCTGGACGCATGTCTTAAAAGGCAAACTCGAGAACATTACGAGGGTCGCCGGAAGACTGCCCCCCGGAAAACTACCCCCCAAGCAGGTTCCTACGTTATATTGACGTCAGAGACCGGGGGGGGGGGCTGTTTTCCAGTCACGGACACTCAAATTTAGTTGTCAAACAGTTCTAATCTAACCTAACCTAACCAGCCAAACTTGCTGTAACATTTCGAAAATCGAAAATGTTTTATATTCACCACATGCATTTTCTATTGTCCAACGGAATTACTCGAATTAAAATTAAAAGTACATAGCATGATTTGTCTAGGGGGGGTGGTATACCAGTCGCGGACACGGCTTCCATATTGGTTAGTTAGCAGATTTTGTGACGTCACGTTTCACCTGGGGGGGTAGTTTTCCGGGGGATAGTATTCCGCATCCCCCATTACGATACGTTTCTGTTCTGAAACTAATTCTAATTGGAAAATGCATATTATTCTACTACCTAGTGTATTTTGCAGTAAGAGATTATCCTCTTTTGAGTGGGGCAAAAGAGTGATTAGGTAATAAACTGTATTCTACCATAGATTATTGTATACTTTTGCATCCCATGGTTGAATGAGCCACTCAAAGTTTGCACTGCCTCAGTCGATTTTCTCAATTACTGTTTGAAGGTTCAAAACATAATCAAGGGATTGAATATCATTACTCCGTCGGTAGTTCAATTCAACGACGTCCATGTATCTTCTAAACTGGCTCCAGCTTGAATGGTACAGTATGTCTATTTCTATCAATGGTCATTAATCCTACACCCTTCTTTTCAACTATGACAGAACCACCCCTAACATTAAACGGATTCGACCATGATCCACTGCAAGTCTTTTCATCTAGACGTGTACAGTAGTTGCAGTACCACACATGGCTGCGGTGCCCGCCCGTGTGGGTCTTTGTCCGTCGAGAACATTTGATGCAGACGGAGGCCGTATGACAGCTGCGTTTGTGGCAGCTCGGAGCCGCACTCGGACCGGTTGCTGAATCCATCAGTTGCGGGTCGCGAACGCTTTTTGCTCAGACCAACTACCGGCCACTTCTTGTGCGACAGAATCCCCGCTATCGCCGTCGGCGGGCTACGCACCTGGAATCGTGTCGTAACACTTCGGCCCAAGTAACACTTCGGCCCAGTAACATTTCGGCCCGAAACCCTCAGATGTGGCCTACGGTCCAACTCTCTACCTGCCCACTAGTAACACTTCGTCCCAACAAAATATTTGACAGGTTAGGTTAGGTTAGGTTAGGTTAGGTTAGGTTAGGTTAGGTTAGGTAAGATTCCACCGATTCTCCGTCATGTGAGGTCAGAGGATGCAAGGGGTGACGGTTGGGCGACATTCCACCAGAGGGTGGTTGCAAAGTATACAGGTAATGTACCTCTTACTACCTGAACTGCGTTCCTCAACCCTTGTCAATTTTTCGTCGGGCCGAAATGTTACTCCATTAGCTTATTTAATCATCTGTAAAAGCGAGTGGGACGAAGTGATACTGTTTTTCTAAGAAATTTGAGTTTGGCCGAAATGTTACTGGGCCGAAGTGTTACTACATCCCTGGAATTCCACCTTTTTACCTGTTGATTATAATTGGGCAATTTAGTCCTCAAATGCTTCCTTTGTTTCGTGGTCTCTAATGTAATTAGATAAAAAGTGGTATGTGGTCTTGGCATTTGTGCAACCGTGAAAGAAATAAAGCGGTGAATAACAAAATATCAAGAGAAAATGGTCTTCGACAGTCTGCTGTGTCTTGCCAACAGCCCACCATTATGCAGCTACTCTAAAATAGTTTTTTTGCAGAAGTATTCTTCCGTCACACTTAAGATTGTTAAAAATATGAGTCGGCTACTGTAGCATGTCTTCCAAATTCTTAAAATTGTAACCATACGATTAGTAGTTGTTGGGAGATTTATCAAGGCTGTAGTTAGTTATTCAAGAAGTAGACCGCTTCTATCTCACCAAGTGAAAGGTCGAGAAGCAATTTTCATCTTTTGACTGCAAAATTTTGTTGTGTTGTAGGTAAAAACTATCGTATAAGAGAAAAATACCTTTGTAATTATATTATTTTTAATCAATACACCACAGTTTTAGTTGAATATGTACATGTTTTGCAGTGAAACTGCAAACACAACTGTCGCAACGATATAAACAACTCATGGATCGCTTGCTCAGTGTTGGCCGCGCGGTCGAGCTTCCCCCACCATCTACTGGCAGAAGCCGACGCATACCATACATTCACCATTATAAAACACACTTTTTATTTGCTGCTCTGTTGAAATTTATAGGGATAAAATATTGCTAACGCTTGTCAAACTCTTTTTACTAGTTAACCCTTTTATGTCTGTTTTGTTTCTTGCAGAAAATAGCCCATCAGAATTATTTAAAACTATAAATTCACTAAACCCGTTTTGTAGATGTTTTTAGACAACTGATATTGCTAGTTCCAAATTGTACATGGTAAAATAATAAGTGATTACAAAAGAGAAATAGAAAGTACAATATTTGTAATTGAAATTCTATTTTATTAATCGAAAAAATAGTACATAAACATTTAGAATAATTTTGCTAAGTTTTTTCCGCAGTGGTAACGTAATGTTTGTCGTAAACGCGATATTTTTTTCCTTCAATGTTTAATGACAATGTATCTTACAAAATAGGTCATAAAAAAGTATGCTTATCACGTTAATGTCAAGCATAGATTTGCGGTAAAAACTGGACAAATGTAGTAGGGTTTTTAAGAGTTCAAATGTGTTATTTTCTGCAAGAAAAGAAGAAGACATAAAGTTTAGAATAGTAAAAAGTGTTTGGCATGCATTAGCAATATTTTATATCTATATATTTAAACAGAGCAGCAACTTAAAAAGGTGTGTTTTACAATGGTGAGTGTATGGGCTGCGTCGGCTACTGCCAGTAGATGGTGGGGGGAGCTAGACCGAAAACGGCGCCTGCAGTGCTACTGAGAGCGCAATCCAGTAGTTTTTACATCGTTGCTGTCGTCAAACAGTTGAAAAACATAAAAAAAAACATTTCACACATATACGCAAATTCAAATCTCAAATTTTCTTCGATTGTCAAAAACTACTACGAGTATTAAAATTTACCATACCACATGTCGACTAAAAAAATGTAAAACCTATCCGCCCTGGTAACATAAAAAAAACTCCTGGGAAAACCCCGGAATCAGAAAAAAGTTATAGTTAACTTAACATCTTTAATGACTTATACATCTTTCTAACTCTAATTTATAAATCATATTTTTTGTACTGCTACCCCTATACACTAGAGAGAATTAACCCTCTTCTCCTGTTTTAGCTGCAGGCATTCATGCCTCTGGTGCACTACAACTGCTCGCGACACCTCCGCTTCTTCCTGTGCTCGGTGTTTGCTCCGCTGTGCTCCGAGCATGTCATCGGAGCTATCCCATCATGCCGGGGTCTCTGTGAGGAAGTGGAGGCTGACTGTCGTCCCGTCATGGACACCTTCGCCTTCCCTTGGCCTGCGCTGTTCAACTGCTCAAGGTATTACAGTTAATTTCTCATAAATGTTATATTGCTTTTGTGGGGTGGAGGGGGGGGGTCCAAAAAAATTACAAACCTTACCTTAACATCGCTTTTTGAGATATTGAACACCTTTTGAGGTCAAATTTAACTGTCCAAGATATTAGCCAATACAAAATAAAATATCTTAAACTTTTAAAAGAAATTTGGAAATCAAACTGTTGATTAATGAATTATACCTAGGGGTGTACGATGCATCGAAATTCCGTTTCAATTCGATGCATCGAATCGCGATTCGATTCAGTGGTGGTGAAAAAACGGTTCGATTAATGTAGGAGTCATTTTCCGTACACGAAAAACGCCTGCAAAAAATCAATGCAATACCCGCAATACAGGAGCACGTTGCTGTTGTGTTTTCTTTTTTGAAGGCGTTATAAATTTAATGAATTCTTTGCATGTAAATATTGCTTTAATTGTGTTTTTTGACATTGCAAATTATGAAAGTGTAAGCAGTGTGAGTAATGTTTTACTACTTTAAACATATCCAAAACAAGTCACTCCAAGTCCGAAAAAATTTTAAGCCTACTTGATACTTTTATACTGATAAATATCAGAATCAGCAGGTCAGAAGGTATAATAAATATAAGGTATAATAAATATAAGAATCATTTTGCTACTTTTGTAAAATATATTTTAATTACATCTTTAATTATTCTATTTTGTGCTTCCGCTTGGTTTTGAGAGGCTCTAAATTTCCATACAAACATAGACCACATAGACTTTTCAATAGTTCTAGGTTATACTTCTAATTTGTCGTATCCGTAACAGAATGGGCTATAATAATTTTAATGACATCTGTTATACCTTTCAGGAACTAAAGACCTAATCACCACAGTGGAAAAATGATACAAAATATTTTTTTCTTACCTCAAATCATGTTTCCAGGTTTCCTGTCCCGGAGAGAAACGGGCTATGCATGCAGTTCCCTAATGTCAGTGAGGAGAAGGGAGCAAAGGGAGGTTGGCCAGAGTCTACTTCCGGAGTGGTCCCTCCCCATCATCAGTGTCCCCCGGACTTCACCCGGACCCGGGAACCCACCTCTGTGACATGTAGTCCCAAGTGTGGCCGGGATGCTTACTACCGCCATGAGGTGAATTGGGATTAAAATATAAATACAGTATGTTTCAATGAAGCAAAGAAATGTTCAATTGCAGAGGTTTATAACTGGCACAGTTGTTCATCTCTATATGAAGGAGAGTATTTGAACTAAATAACTTATGACTACTGGGCTTTTCCATAATCTTCACACACTCATCATGAGAACTGAAGGATGATGATTTTCATGGATTGAGCACAAAAGTGAGTTATTAGACAACAACAGCCAATCTACCTTTTCCTGCACTGGTATAACAGTTTATTTTGTGGCCAAATAAACTTTAAAGATGAATTTTAATTTATTTTGATACAATTTGTATACAATTCAGTTCACTTCTATGATTTTAGACACTCAAATTCTGAAGGACTACTAATAACTACAAATAACAACTACTAATAACACTACAACTAATAACTACTAATAATAATACAACTACTAATAATAATACAACTACTAATAATAAGGACAAATAAAACAGGGACTAGCATTATCTTAAGTTTTTATTATTGTAACGATACTTTGTAAAATCAATCATAAAATCACAAGTTTGGTGACATTTGCCTTTTTGCAGGACAAGCTGTTTGCCGAGCGCTGGATGACAGGCTGGGCCTGGTTGTGTTTTGTCTCTACTCTCTTCACTCTTTTGACATTCTGGGTGGAGCCTGCGAGGTTTCGGTACCCAGAACGTCCTGTTGTGTTTCTGGCTCTCTGCTACAACGCAACGTCTCTCGTGTACATCATCAGAGGCTCCGTGGGTCCCGAGGCCTTCACCTGCACCTCGGCTACAGATGGGTACGACGGCTATGTAGCCGTGGACGGTCTGGAGACTGCTCCGTGTACTGTGGTGTTCCTGCTGCTCTACTACTGCGGACTGTCTGCTAGTGTTTGGTAGGTTGACTCAATGAGCTATTTCAAATCGTTTTACAAGTTTTACAACTCACACATTTAGGAATGTAATTAGAATACAGTCAGTAATATCAAAATTATGGTTGTCAACATTGAAGTCTTATCTTAAAATTTCACCTTCCTTTGAAATACAAATATGTCAAAGGTGGTTCAATTTAATTTTGCCTTTACTTTTACAAAATAAGTGTTTTGTAGTTTGTATAACAAAAGAAAAATCAAATTTTTTCTAGGTGGGTTGTGTTGGCAACATCCTGGTACCTCTCAGCAGCCAAGAAGTGGAGCAGTGAGGCTGTACATGGTCTAGCCTCGTACTTCCACGTGGCCGCGTGGGCATTCCCCGCAGTCCTGGCACTCCTCGCCCTCGCACTACATCGCGTCTCCGCTGACGAGCTTACCGGGCTGTGTCAGGTGGATGAGTCGTCCTCCATCACGTTCCTGGTGATCCCCCACGGCATCATGTTGGGTCTCGGCTGCATCGTGGCGTGTCTCGGCGCAGCAGCTTTGGTCAGAGTGAGAACTGAGTTAAGACAAGCGGGAGGAAGTACGGCGAAACTAGAGCGCCTAATGACTCGGCTGGCTGTGTTCACAGCGTTGTATGTTCTCCCCGCCTTGGCAGCACTGGCATGTCTAGTGTACGAGGCACGGCATCGCCCCAAGTGGCGTACTCTGGCGCTACTCTCAGCTCTGGACTGCAGTGCCTCCCCCAGCTGTGCCCCGGGGCCCTCCTACCACTGGGCTGGAGTGGAAGTTGTGCTTCTACGAGTGTTCCTGTCTCTAGTTGTGGGAGTCACATCCGGGATGTGGGTGTGGTCCGGGAAAACCTGTAGATCTTGGAGCAGATTGTTCACAGCTCCGAGGAAAGCTCGGCCTGTCCCCATCACAAGGGTCTGATTTTGTAAACAATGTAAATATTGTAATATAGTGTACATAGTTGTGGATACTGTATAGTTTATCTTGTTAGTATAGTTATTGTAATTAAATAGAACAGACTGATTTATAGAGGAACTTTTAGGAATTTATAAAATTGTACATCATAACTAACTAATTATTAACCCTTGTAAAAATTTGTATTTTGTACATTTATTATGTCACTATCCAAAAGTAATATCAAAGGTTACAATTCGAAGCTCATAACTAATTGAGCACCAGTAATTATATTAAATTATTATTTTTTAATCATTGAAAAAGTTTGTCTGAGGATTTAATATTCCAACATTGTATTGTGGAGATTGCTCAAAGCTAAACCACATGTAAATATTACATTCTATGTGCCTTAATACTTTATAATTTGATACGCTTATTAATTTAGTGGTTGTAAATATTAAAGTGGTTTAATATAATGAAGTGTATTTGATCCTTTTGAGCCCCTATAATGTTCTTGTGGTACTTAGACCTAAGTTTTTAACACTTGAGAAAGGAATTGATTGATAGATTCTGATGAGCAAGAGTCATGCAGTTTGCTGTATGTTGTAATGGTTTCAACAAATTGGGTTTGGATTTCAAACGGGTTTCTACATTAGTCTTTAAACTATAAATCTAGGGCATAATAAAGGCCTTTAAAGAGCCTTGAAAGTATTTGAAAATAATCAGGGTTTTGAAATTAATCATTCAAACCATTTTAAGCATAAACTTAACACCTAAAAAGTTATTTCACACACTAATATTCAATATATTCAAAATATTAATATACGGCAATATATGGGGTTTACAAATAAAAATTCTTTTGCTAAATTCTCCACTATTTCCTGTAATTTGTTTTTACTAACCAAATTGAATATTTTTGTAAGCTGGTCCATTATACAAGACTTAGTATTATAATGATTGTTATCTCATACTATATTTTATAGTTATAAAACCTAAACATATGATCTCGAGTTACATGTCGATTTCCCAAGCTGAAGCTTACATGCAGTTTGTGCTAGACCTACAGAAAAATATAATCAGATACCGTTGAATTCCATTAATAAATCTACTTTTTAATACATTTGAAATGTAATATAAACACAAAGACAAGGCAAAGTAGTTATTAAAACTACATAAACACTGTGGACACTGTATGGTTTTAAGCTAAATGATATAGTTTCAAAGACAAGTTTATGGTTTTGTGAGATAACAAATGCCTTAGTTTATATTCATGCCTTAGAGGCTATGTCATAAAAAAATATTTTACATCTCCATTAGCCCAAAGAATTGATGGTACCACAAGTAAGATGACAGTGTATGTAGCTAAAGTAAACGGTAAGCAGAACTGTTATTGAAACAAGATTTTTTTTTTTAGCTTTCTTTATATAAACATACTTTTGGACATTTTAACAGCTACAAAATGTGATTCTCATTTCAAATTACTCGGAATATCACACCTAACAATTTCACAGGTTGTTAATTAATAAAACTCAAGATCTAAAAACGTCTTTTGATAATCTTTTAACAATCACTGTTGTGAGTTAGTCACTGGGATGGGAAGTCAACAATGGAATTGTTAACCTGTGATAGCGTGGCGTGTCGACAATATTTATTAAGAGGTCTAGTATTATATTGTCTGTGGTCTAGAGCTTGAAAAGGTCAAAGCTAGAGCACTTAGTTCAATAAAAGTGTACTGTATGTTGTTAAGCAGTAAAATACTCTATACATGTGAACAGCCATATTCATCCCATTTCACATTAATACACGTCATACAAGTGTAGGCTATATGATATGATCCGTAATTTGCTAGTGTAGGATACTGTAGGTGATTTTGTCATAAGCATAATATGCTTCAATTACTTTGGCAATTAGTGTTAAAAATATTGAAATTTAATCTCAAGTATTTAATCAACAAAAACTAATTTTCTCAGAACAGAAACTAGCATAAGCATTGTTTTTAGCCTAAAACAATGCTAAAATATGTTTAACAATTTAGAGGCAATCGTTCAAATTCGAGCAATTTTTGAAAGAATTTTTATCTGTATAGTTTGTACTATAAACTAAACTGATGATACAATAAATTTTATTCAGGTCGGTAAAGCAGTTTATAGTTCACAACAAGACGAACAGAGCGTACCACGAGTTAGCAAGTACACTAGAGCTACCTGTCGGACATCAGCCAAACTATCAAACAGCTTCCTTCAGTTTTCCGTGGTCGAAAACTCCGTACAGTACAAAGTACAATACATTGTTTCAAAAATTCATTGGTAGATGTTTCTACTTAGCATTTCTTGTGACAATAACATTTTACAATACAAATTTTACGAAATCATAATTTTACCGTGAAACTTTAAGCGGAAAACGTACAGTAGCATACAGCGCATTGACTTTACTAAGTGGTGTTAGGCCTATTTGTATTGGGTATGAGACTACAATGTTATTTCCTATTTCCATATACATATTTAAATATAAATTAGATTAATTGACCACGAATTTTCTTTGTTTGCAGGTTTTACTATGTAGGTGGTATTTTCCAATGCGTGTATTTACATATTCAAAGCATTGAATATGATCTGTATCTAAAGATTAGACCCTGATGTAATCAACGTTGAAATTTATTTTGTGCTAGCCTATTTAATAACATAACGTTAAAATAACATAGTGTTTATATATAAATGGCTGACATATTTTGTTGTTTTAGGACAGAAAATGTCTGCAAAACACTCACAAAAACTATATTAAATTATTAAACAAAATAATTTGTAATTTTTACCAAACTATCAAATAAACATCGTTTACATGGTTTTATTTCCCTAAAGTTTACGTACGTTAGGAAGTTAAAATCTTGGTATTGCCGGTAAAGTCATAAAAGACTAGCCAATTTCACGGTTATGTAGGCAGTGATGTAAGCTGTCTTGTGGCCTATTTGTATGCTGAAGCTTATACTTACTGGGAAAGATACACCTTTATAGGTTAATGTTGTGTAATTTACCTTTTGTTGTCAATTACATACCGTAGGACACATATTAAAATAGGGATACACATTTATATATGTATATATATTAGTTAAATCAATAGTTTGAAAAACGTGTTTTTAAGAATAGAGTAATTGATGATGTTCGTGTTCAGTATATTTGGTTTATTAAAACTTAATATACTGTTTAGTGAAAGAAGTACCAAGTTCCTTGGTGAATGGAAGATTTAAATTTTCAGGACACGAAAATGGCTACGATTTTATGAAACAAACTTATAAACAATGAAATAATACAGTTAATGCAATAGTTATAACCCCTAATTTTAAATCTACAAGAATAGTTCTATACAATCGTAGCTTAAGACTTAACAATTATAATTTAAAATCCTTAGTTGTATCTATGACAAGAAACTGATTTTGTATGTACGTAAAACAATAGACAAAAATAATTAAATATGTACTGTCAGCCATGCTGTGGTTACTATGGTTACCATAGGTTCTGGAGCACACCTCTGGGAGCACCCTGCAGTTACGTAGCGCGTAAGGCCCGGTTCACACGAACGACAAACCTAGCAGACTAGGCTTGGACTAGGTAAGCACTAGGTAAGCACGACTGGGTAGCGGACCACAGGACCAAATGGAGCCGTTCACACGAGCCTAGGACGCCGACTAACTAGTCGTGTTCGAGCTTGGTGTCCCAAAACCTAGTCGGGCCCCGCTTCCCAGTCCGTCGTGGCAACTACCCAGTCGCCCAGTCGAACTGCGTAGCAGTACATGTAGCCTTATGGGAGCGTTCACACGAGCGATCGGGTAGTCGAGCTGCAGCTCGCATTCTTACCTTTGTTCTCATTGTGCACCAGTGATGGAACCGAGTGGTTTTGATCTCGATATTTTTACCTAGTCCGTGGACATGTCGCTCGTGTGAACCGGTGTGATCCTGTGGTCCGCTACCCAGTCGTGCTTACCTAGTCCAAGCCTAGTCTGCTAGGTATGTCGTTCGTGTGAACCGGGCCTAACCCGTATCTACATGGGGCTCCCAGTGGTGTGCGCCAGAACCTAAGGTCACCGCAGCATGGCTAAAGGTCTATATATTTAATTCTTTTTGTCTATGATAAAACATAAAATATTGTTAAAAATTGAAATATTTGATTGTCATATATCGTAATCTTTAAATCTACTTCTTGCCAGTTAATAAAAAAAATAGTCTTTGTCTGATGCTTTTATCAACGAAATTATTGAATGATTCAGTGATTAATATACCATTCAAAATGTCTATGCATTTCAGTTTCCTAAACTTATAACAAGAGGATTCGAATCATATCTATTCCAACGGTATTTGATACATATGTATTATTAATGTTATATAAATAGTGAAATCTGATGATTTCTGTGATGTGGAGTTTGTAGAAGAAGGCGTTTGCATCAGTAAGTAAATAACTTTATATTTTGATCGATTCAAATCAGTAAAAAGTTGGCTCGTTGTCCAAGAAAGATACAATAAAAGTAACGTTTCGACCATTTGTGCAGACATTTTTATGCTTGGCAGTAAAATGCAAACTATGACAGAGTTTATTTGTTGTTTTTATTTCTTTAGCACTCGAATTTCAGTGCTCGGTTGGAACTATTTAGTTACTTTTGTAAATAGGGTATAGGAAGTTCTCTTTGTTCATAGCAGGCCACCGCTCAAAGATTGAATTAAAAACAGTTTCATTTGCAAACGGTCTCAATTGGTAATAAACATTTAACTTGAGGTTGGAGCAAAATTCAAAATGAATTTTCTCCTTTTCCTACCGTCATATCGTTATCGGTTTGTGGTAAATTTTAAGAGTCGAACTTTTTAAATGAGGATTCCTGTCGTCACGTTAAAAATAAATGACAATACTGAGCTCTTGAAAGCAAAACTCTGCACATTTTACTTTCCCAGAAATTTTGCTATTGTTAATTATACAAATTTCAATTATTTATTCCCTATTCAAAATATGAGGTTTAACGAGTACTTTGGTTTACTGATGGAGAGAAGGTAATTAAGTGTTTTAAGGGAAATAACAAAAAAAAAAAAAATTGTTAATATCTTAGTATAATAAATCTTATTAGTAAATTTGTTAATATCTTAGTATGAAAACGAAGTTACCGAATAATAACAAAATATATTCATAAACGAACAAACACATTTCCGTTAAAATGAATACATAGCATAGAACTACGTGTTTGGCTGAAATAATATATCTTGAGTATTTGTCTGTCAAGATCCGTATGGAGAAACGTAAACCGGCTAAAGCGGTAAGAATTCACCGTGGTCTACGGGCTACCATAACTAGCTAAGTATTTTAAGTATTTAAGTATTTTATTCTTAGTTCAAAAACAGTTTTACAAATTCAGGCTAGTATTATAGGGTTGCGGTATTGTCACCTGTTCAAGTTACATAGGATCTTTGACTATTAATACATAGGATCCACTGTTCAA